GAAGGATGTGAACAACGTTGTGAAAATCATCAGGGAAGCACATTGCCTGGCATCGCACACAAAATCATCCCAACCGATTCCTTCTTTGAAAGTCGCTTGCATGAGCATTTTGGCTTTAATTGTGATTGGAGCTAGCAAACCGCACGGATCATACAGTTTGGATGCATCTGAAACTAGCCTTCGTTTGGTAATTCGCGGTTCAGATGATAAACGAGTCATGTCGATTGTGAAGCTCAATGAATCGGTTGCAGGCGTCCATTTCATGCCCAGAGTTTTCACTGTGTCGGTGGTTTTCAAGGTTAACGATTGGCTAATTGCTCGATCTACACTTGGAATGCCGTCCAATGCCGCTTCGCTATTCGATGCCCATTTTCGAAGACGCATGTTGCCGGATTTAAACAAACCATTCAACTCGCGTTGCAGTTCAACTGCTGATTTGACTGAATGGCTGCCGCTCATGCAATCATCGACGTACAAACATGTTTTTATACATTCTGCGGCCTTTGGAAAGTTATCTTTTTCACAATCAGCGAGATAAAAGGTTGCATTAATTGCTAAGAACGGAGCCGACTTGCCACCAAACATTACGCAGTTTATTTCATAGGTTTGAATTGGCTCTTCTTTCGAAAATCTCCAAAGAATCTTTTGGTATTTTCGATCTTCCGGGGCGAGCGAGACTTGACGATACATTTTTTCCACGTCAGCAACCAAAGCAATTTTATTTGTGCGCCAACGAATGAACGTATCGAATAGTTCTGGCTGTATGGTGGGGCCGTTCAAACAACGATCGTTTAAAGAAAACCCGTTCGAAGTTTTAGCTGATGCGTCGTAGACAGTGCGCTGTTTCGTTGTGGTGCTTTCTTCTCGAGTTACGGCGTGATGTGGCACGTAGTAACCCTCGTTAGATGGTGATTTGCTTAAGCTCATGTGGTTGCACTCAAGATAATTCAACATATCGGCTTTATATCGTTCATAGTAAGTTGCATCCTTTTCAAATTTCTTTTCTAAGTGAAAAAAACGTCGTAATGCCATCTTACGAGAGTCACCGAGAAAGTTTTCATTATTGCGATCCATGTTAAATGGGAGAGACACTTGCACTTGGCCACTTGGCAATCGAATCGTCGTTTCATTGCACAACTTTACGCATTTCTCATGTTCTTCGCTCATGATTGGCTTTAAATTCACTTCTTCACTCTCCCAGAAACGTTTCAATGCTATATTTAAATCTTCATTGTCATCGTTATCATTTGTGTTCGCCAAGCGAGTTGTATGGATGCGAACGCTGTATTCTTTTGCTTTGCATGCAGCGCCGAATACAAGCCAGCCGAACGACGAATTTTGTGCTACTGGTTCGTGTAATTTGCCCTTCTTTAAACCATTTTCAACGATAATGCCGTAAATGTCCACACCAAACAGAATGTCAACCGCATTTGCTTGCATATACTCAGGATCTGCGAGTTGCAAACCGTTCAAATGTTTCCATTTATTGTGTTTTTCAAACTGTGGGCCGGCTGACATGATTGACCGCATTACAAGTGCTTCCATTGATATGACGAAATCGCTGTTTACTGCAGATTGCACTTGAATTCGGATTGATTTTGTTGCTTTTCCGAGTGGTTTATCATCAATTCCGAGCAATGGGACATTTGCCTTCTTGCGTGGAAGACGTAGAATTTGAACGGCTCTTTCGGACACAACAATTCCCTGTGACCCTTGATCGATCAACGCACGGAATAAATGATAGACCCCAGATTTATCTTGCACTTTCACAATGGCGGTCGCTAATAATTTTTGATTGGGCATAGATAAATCATTGACAGCACTTACGCGTTGGCTTGTTGTTACGACTTCTTCATGTAACTTTGTGCTGTGGAGACCATTGCATTTTTTGCAGCGAAACTTGGACTTACAATGTTCAATTTCATGTTTTTTCAAGCACACAACGCAAAGACCTTTTTCTATAACAAATTGCTTTCTTTGGGTGACGTTCCATGCGTTGAACGTGTCACAGAACAAAACATAATGCTCGCCCTTGCAAACTTCACATACATCTTTCTTGTTGATCGTATTTGGTACTCTTGTTGAGTGGAATTTCTGTGATGTTGCTTGTGAATTGCATGACATTTCTATTGGCGCTTTCATTATTCTATATTGAGTTTCGAGGAACTCCAACATTGTTGAATATTCGGGAATTTCTTTGGAGCCGCTGAGTTTTTTCTCCCAATCAATTGCTGTGTCTCTGTCCAATTTCGTTTGCAACACATAAACAATGAACGGATCCCAATCATCGATGCTCACATCGAGTGATTCTATGCATTGGAGAGACTCTTTTGTGGTATCAATCAAATTGCGAATGCTGCTTGCATTTTGTGTTTTAATGCTATCTTGGAAAATGAACGATTTCAAGCAGTTGTTCACAATTGCGCGTTTGTTATGATATTGTTCTTGCAGTATTTTCCAGGCGATTTCATAATTAACGTCGGAAGCAGGCAATTTGCTTATAGACCGAAACGCTTCGCCCTTTAAACTATCGCGCAAATAGTGCATTTTGCTTATTTTTGGTATTTTTTCATTTTGGTCGACAAGCGAAGAGAATGTGTCATAAAATGTAGTCCATTCCAATGCCTTTGAACCATCGAACTTTGGAATTGAAATCGTGGGTAACTTCACTTCTGAAGTTGTTGTGATGCTACGTGTTGCCATAGTCGAGCTTAACGATATTGTGTCGTTCGAATTTTCACCTAATGTGTCTTTAATCAATCCTATTGCCTTAATAAATGCTTCGGTTACATCTTCACTGTCGACCTCTAAATGGTCTGGATCATAATCATCATGATCTTCTATTTTTTCGATAATTGCCTCATATTTTTCATGCGTACCTTCAAGTTGTTTCATCCGAGTTGCTGCCATATTTGGCGTGGTTCCTTCTTTCATTTTTTCGGCATGACTCAAAATCGAACGGACCAGGTTGTCACGTTTAAGCAAGAGTTTTTTGTATTCTTTCGATGTGTTTTCAGTCGACTTTTTTGGAGCCATATTGCTAGGTTTGAGATTAATTGCTATGTGATTCAATTATTTTGATGCTAAAAGAGTGCTGTTTACCAAATGCTGTAAGCGAATGCGAGTGCGAGTGCGAAAAAGAAAAAATGCGGTGCGATGAAAATTTTAATCTCAACGAGTACCGAAAATAATTTGGAGCGCAATTCCAATTCTATTGCCCAGAAAATTCGATGCTAAATGCTAAGTAAATGCGATTTTTTGCTATGCGAAAGGGGTGCGAATTCGAATTTTAATGCTATGGAATGCTATCTGAAATTAAATCAGTACCGTTTTTATGCTGATCAAATATTCGATGCGAAACAGTGTTGCGAGTGTTATTCAAAATGCTGTAAGTGAATGAGAGTGCAAAAAAAAATGCGTTGTTTTTTATTCTCACAGTGTGAGTTTTCAGTTTTTATTTTAAATAAGATCAAATTTATCCAATTTCGATTGTAATCAATCACATTCAATGCGCCATCAAAATTGAACTCATTTCAACTTCAGATGCTGTTTAAATATTACGATTTTCTTTTGCGCCGAAAAGTATGCAAAAAAATGCTGAATGTGTGTTAACAAGTCTTGTAATATAAATGGATGTGACTTTGATGTAACTGAAAAACCCCGTTTGGTTTTGTTTTATATGCAAGATATGTGTATTTTAATTGTAGCTAAATTATGTTTGTATATATTTTTGTGATGCTATGCGATAGGAAAAAAAAACTGTATTGCCAATCAAAAATGTTTGCTGTTTGCAATGCGATAATTTTTCATGTGATTTTTGTTTTCAATGCTAATTCAAATCATTCAATTCAATTTACTTCGTGCGATGCGATGCGATGCGTTTACAATGCGTGTGGATGAAATGACTAAAATGAATGAGGAATGAATTTACAATGACTTCATATTCGTGCAAAAACAGAGTTAGATTTACAATTGAGCAACTAATTTTCGTGTTATTTTCTTTAACGCATTCTTTGACAGATTTCGGTTCTTTTGAACTGCAATCGCTAAAAAAATTCCGTCGGGAACGTGTTTGTTTTTTAGCTCAATTGTTTGAACGTTTGCGTTCTCTTCCGCTGCTGATGCGTTGCGATGATTTTTGTTCAGCTTGAGACGAAGGTCATCGCCGTGACTTATGTTCGGTTGTGTTTGTTCGATTGGCTGACGCGCATGTGTATTGGTGCGGTGACGTTCGATGGTGTGCGTGCGTCGCTCGCTCGGTGCTGGTCTTGTTATGCCGTGCGGTGCGGTAGTATTGTGGCGATGCTGTGTGCTAGTATTGGTGAGATTACGTTCGATGGTGTGAGTGCTCGACTCTGTGGTAGTATGCGTGCGGTCAGTTTTAATCGTGTGCGTGCGATGTTTGGCTGGTAAACGAGTGGCAAATGGATTACGTTTGAACTTTGGACTGCACTCGCTCGATGGTTTTTGTGTTGAAACGTTCGTGATGCTCACAACCAGTGATTCGTTGTTTCTCTCACTTTTTTGCAATGAACGTTCGTGGCTGCAGTTTTCGGTCAATGAACTGTATTTCAATGGTGTTGCTTTGATTGGTGATAGCAACGGAACGTTCAAAAACGATGCGCTCGATGCAATTGCTTGTGTGTGCGTGCCGGGCGATGGGCTTGTGTTGGTGCGTTGGCTTGTGATGGTATGAGAGTGGTATTTTGATGGTGTTCGAATGACTGCTGACGTGTTAAATTTGACTTTCTTTCGTTCGCACTCTTCTACCTCTTGTGAAAAGGTCACCGACCTACGCTTTGGTGTTCTAGTGAGTGGTGAGAGCAATATTGGAAATTGCAATAGCGATTTTATTTCGTTTGAACTTGGCAACAATTCGACTTTTCTTAAAATTGGTTCAAACGGTGGCAAATTCAACTGATATTTCAGCAGTGAGGCATTCGATTGGTCTTTTTCTGGTGTTTGTAGAAACGCAAATTCGTTGTCTATGGTTATTTCCAACACATCTTCGTTTTCGCTTGTTTTGTTCTCACTGCTTTCGCTCTCTCTCTCACGCAATTCACTGGCAATCTCTTCGGCTATACGCTGTTCAACAATTCGTTCAATTTCTTCGGTTTCACTGTCGGTGCCGAATAATTCGTTGAATTTTTCTGCTGTTTTTGCTATTTTGGCTGTGTGTTTTGAAGTCGAAGGACCATGAATAAAACCTGAATGAAAAGCCACTGAGGTTTTATATAAAAAGAAATTAATGTATTTATTTACTTTCTTACTAACTAAAACAATTTTTCTCTACTTTACGCTGATTCTAACTAACAATAATTCGCTTAGACTTACTCATTTGCTTTCACTAATCGCTCAATTCTGCTTTCGTTAATCGCTCTTTGCTTGCTTTCGCTAATCGCTCGTGAATGCTTTCGCTAGTCGCTCTTTGCCTGCTTTCGCTAGTCGCTTTGGAATGCTTTCGCTAGTCGCTCTGGAGTAAGACTGACTTGCGATACTGAGAATCGTGCCGCTATTTATACTAAAATTTTGGCGCGAAAATGCGCCGGCGGAACCGACTGAGTGTGCGCGAGAAGAAGCGGAGAAATGAGCAGAGGAGAAGCGATGAGCGAACGCAGAACAGAGGCGAGCGATGAACGAGTGCAGAGCGATGAACGAGTGTGTGAGCAATTGAATGAGTGAATGCGTGCTTTAAGATGAGTGAATGTAGTTTCTTTTGTTGTTCCATTCGGAACAGATAATATTATTAAACTTTTGCATATGCAATTATCTCGAAAACGGA